GGCTTCCCTGGTGGCGCAGTGGTTGAGAGTCCGCCTGCCGATGCAGGGGATGCGGGTTCGTGCCCCGGTCCGGGAAGATCCCACACGCCGCGGAGCGGCTGGGCCCGTGAGCCATGGCCGCTGCGCCTGCGCGTCCGGAGCCTGTGCTCCGCAACGGGAGAGGCCACAACAGTGAGAGGCCCGCGTACTGCAAACAAACAAACAAACAAAAAACGACTCTTAAGCCTGGTTTCTGGCTATTTTTTTTATTTATATGAATTGCAAACTAGATAATAGAATTTTTTTCTATTTAGAAAGTAATATCTATTTCTTGTGGCCTTCTTTTTGACCTGAAGTTTTAGCATCAGTTAACTTCTGCCTCATAAAGTTGAGCGTGGACCAATTGATATATACTTCAGTGTTGGGATGATTTCTGAAGAGAGAAACAGTGACAAGTGGGTCTGTGTGATGCAGCCCGGAAGTCGGGATGCCGTCGTGGAGGGAGGACGGGCTCTGCGCCTGGCACCCTTGGGCCAAATCCTGCTTCTGCCAGTTCCCACCGTCAGGCCGTCTGAATATTAAGTGCTTTGAGGTTCAGTTTCTACCCCTGTCAAGGTGAGGTGACATACGATAATAAGTGATTGCCACACTGAAGGCGTTCAAGAAATGATAGCCGCTTTCTTCAGTGCACCGGGCTGCGGGCACTCTGGGTCAAGTCTCCACACATGATGGAGGGAGTAGTCCTGCCTGGCTCTTCTGGCTTTAAACCACCGAGGTTCTGTGAGCTGGGGAAAAGTCCTCCTGGGTTCTGACCCTCAGAGTATTTATTGGTTGGGGTAGAAATTGAGGCCCTTGCTATCACTTGGGAAGATCCACCATCAAATGTTTTTTTAAACACAGGCTGTACGCTCGTAGGTTCTGAAAGAAATGAGAACACTGGGGTTTTCTGAGACAGACAAGATTAACCCATGAAACAATGTTTTAGAACAACACAGACTATTTCATTTTATGTTTTTAAAATGGTAGCTTTTAAAATATATGGAAAATTATTCAAGATTCTCAGTGTAGCTTTGGATCTTTCTTTTTATTTAAGGAAAAGGGAGGTGGAGTAGTGGATATATTACAAATTTAGGGAGAGATCTTTTAAACTGTTTTGTTGATTCCCTTACTGTTTCCCCTCATTGACTGAACTGTGTCTTTGGAAAGCTTCTTCGTCTTAGGTGCACTGCACGGCCACGGATATGCACAGCTACAGGCGACGTGTCCCTCCCCAGCTGAGTGAGGAGACCAGTGAACTGACGGGACATCAAGGCCAGCAGAAATGCTGGAGGTTCTACAGAGAGACCCCTACCTAGCTCCTACCATAGAGACTCTACCCTTCACTGTCCCCAGGGGAAAGCCTCACTGTGCTTGCGTGTGCCGTGACTGGACAGCTATTTTATCTCTTGGCATTCAAGCAGGACTTAAGGAATCTTAGACTGTAGAGGCATGAAGCTGAGGGAGAGATTGCCAGGTCATTCTCACATTTCCGCTTCCATCCGGATAGCTTCATTGGTATTTCCCCACTCTCTGCCTCTTGAGACCACAAATTTAGGGTATGTAAAGGATCAGTGGAGACTTTCAAGCCAAGGTATCTAAAAAGAGAACCTTCAAAACCTTAAGTACAAAATGGGAATTTATTATTATTTTAAAAGTTCCAGCTTCTTACTACCTTTCTTAGAAATATTAGGATGATTTCCAGGACTTAGGTTTAAAATAGTTTCATATTCCAGTTAGTAGTCACCCCAGTTTTTTGCTTTTATTGATTTTAGCTTCTAACATATAGTGTCAGTTCTTTTAAATGAATGCTTACAAATTATTCATTGCAAAATAGTATTTGGCCCTTTCTGTTCTCCTAAGTGGTATTGCTAGATCTGCTCTCCAGCTGTGTGCTCTCTTACAGGTGGTGTAAAATATTCTCCGTGGATGGACTTGGAGGTGCATTGCTGTCACTCCTGCATCTTGGCCTGACAGTTGGGGTGATAGTGGTCTATGAGCTGAGCTCATCTGCTACCTGCTTATAGAGCCTCACTATCCCTCTGCTGTCTGGTGTCACAGAGGAATGGCCAGCCCAAATGTCATTTCATAGTTCAGTAAATTTTAGACTTTCAAGTCTAATTTAACCTACTTATTTGACTTGATTAGTAACTGAGACCCAGAGAGGTTATGGGATTTATCTAAGACCCTCCATTAGTTAATAGCAGGAATTGGAATTTTAAAAGAAAAGGTTTCCTAAATCCCTAAGCTTAAATCAAATGTTCGGTAAGATCATTAGTTAACCATACCTCCCTTGCTAGTATTTTGTATGGAACAGGAAGTTTTCAAGTTATTTGTAAATTTTTTTTACTAGATTTTAGAACACTGTTAGCAAATTGGGATTCTCAAAGTTTATGAAGCAGTGAAAGTCACATTTGGTATTACAGATTTTTTGGGGGGTGGGGGTTGCATTATACGTTTAGTGGAAATGTGGGAAGAAGCGAGTTTGTTGCTATCTCAGAGTACTAAAAAGTTGCCGGTGCTTTTCTCAGTACTTGTTTACTTTGAAGAAGAGACCAGATATGAAAAGTATTCATTTTGTTATAAAGGTGTACATTGTTCACATTCATGCATTCGTGGCTGAGAATATAGAAACAGGGATTGTAATCACTGTAGTAAAACTCGGTTTATGATTTATAAAGTCATGAAATATGAGACCTGGGCCTTGCTTCTACAGCAGTCAGGTCTGCAACCTATTCCTCCCTTGTTTCCATGGTTTTCAAAACAGGTACATTCCTGGAGTGTGGGAGGCTGCCCACCACTCTCCCCTGCAAGTCATTGTTTCGCCTCCACTTTCCTTGGGTGCTGGCACCTCTCTGGCTTGTCTCCACGCCCCGCTGAGCTTGGTGTGCAGTGGCCCATGATTATTAAAATCCTTATCACCAGAGGACTTGATTATGAGCAGAGTTATTTTCTAGGATTAGAAAGACCCGCAGAGTTCAACAAGTGACTCAAAAATGATCTTGTATTTTCTAGTAATTAAAAGTGTGATTAATACCAGTAATTAGTTCCTGTGATTTAACTGTTAAAAGCAGGAATTCAGAAGGTAATAAACAGGTGAACAAGGTAAGGAGCCATAGGCTATGACTCAAATTTGAGTTCCTAAGACACAGATACACTCCAGAGGATGTGGCCCACGTAAGACAAACTCCTTTCATACTGTGAAGCTAAGTGAGGCCTGTTTTATGTAAACAGGCCTCCTTCATGGAGACTTGCCGTGTGTGGCTGTGTGCCGTTACTAAACGGAAGGCAAGACCTTTCTCGTCCATCAGGCGGGGATTCGCTGGGATCAGGAGGGCCTTGAGAAGATTTTTCATCCTGCTGTGCAAAATTTCAGCTCTTTTTCAACATTTGAGGAACAAAACGTGACCTTGTGTTTTTGGCTCCTGTGGCAGCTATTTTTTAATTTTTCTCAAAATTACCTCATGGGATTCCAGCCCAAACTGAATATTGGTCGATAACATTGAAAAAGCTCATTTGGTTTATTCTACATGTTCTGCATTTTACCTTTTGAAATTTAAGAAGCTGACTACGTGATTTTGTGTTTTTAGCCCTGAGTAAAATAAGGTTTGTGCTGATTAGATAAGCTCTGATGTTGCTGGTAAGGTACCCTTTGAGGAGAGCTCACTGGGTCAGCAGCCATTCAGAGCCCAATTGCCCACTGATATAATGCTGATTCAGCCGAAATTTCAGACGGGAGGCTACTTTGATCCCACTGAGCCGGGTTTCGAGTGCTGCTATAACAAGAAAATACGTGGTCCGGTTATATGTGTGGTTGTAATAAAGTTAGCTGCACAAGCAGAGCTTTGCCCGCCCAGTTCAGAATAATTTGCAGACTCCTAATTTGGAAACTGATTTATTCAGAAAACTGTTTTCCCACCTCATGAAAGGGTCGGACCACCCATCTCGTCCTGTGTGAATAAGTGAATGTGAAGGGAGAAGCCAGGTAATTATGAAAACCTAAGTTTAGTGTACTTGTTTAAGGGCTTGATTATTTTAAAAGGCTGTGGGCAGAATTATTCCAGACACTGACCTTACCTAAAGCACAGTCCTTATATGCCTCCATTTGAAGGTGCTTCCTTTGTCACGCACACGTCTTCATCTCCCTACTGCCAGCCAGCCACAACCTATATGGTGTGATACCAGCATTTGATTTTTTATCCCAGCCTATTAAGTTCGGATTTTTTTTTCCTCTTCTCAAGCCCTCTCAAGCCTTACAACTGAGTGTATTTATGTAAAATTAAAATGTAAGCCACACTTAATCCCGGCGGTTATGAGTGAGTTATTCCTCCATTTAGAAGCAGACGGACACAGCCATGGGTGTCTAGTTCACGGCAGTGTAGGGGGGGGCGTCTCATGTCTTGCACCCCCAGCTGAGGGCAGAGGGCACCCCAGCTCTCCTGTTCCTTCCGGGAGGAAGGGGGCACACGGGCCCTTCCAGCCCCGGGGCCTCCTCTCGAGCAGCTGCCAGAGGGCCACGCTCTGGACACACCAGGGTCGAGGCTGGCACGTGGCTCCCGGTTTAGCAGGGGCTCCCATATATGCGTGGCGTCTGAGCTTGTGGGTCAGGGCGCAAAGGCCTGTGTATCCACAGCGAGACCAAGTAGGTGTCTGACGACACCTCAGGGCTCTGGGCTTTTAGGGTCCTTGTTTCTGATGGAGACTCTAGGAACTTCGTTGCCATTTATAAGGTTGTTGCCAAGGGGCCATTCTGTCAGAATGGCGTCCAGGTGACTCACCATCTACCTTGTGAAGTTAGCCTCCGACTCCCCAGCCTCCCACCCCGTACGGCCCTCAGCTGGTGGGCGTGGCCACCGCATTCCGCACCGTGTGGCTCAGGCCGGCGAGGGGTCCAGCGGGAGCCCGGCCCCCCAGCCACGCAGGCCGCGGGCTGTGCTGAGTAACTCGCTGATGCGTAACCGGTGTTGCTCTTCTCCCCACCTCAGGGCCAGCCCAGTCCCGACGCTGCAGAGGGGGCTGGCGTCTCCCCCATGACCACCAGTGCCTTCACCATCCGCGAGTACTTTGCCAGGCGCATGGCGGAGCGCAAGAGTAAGGCGCGGGGCACGACCGCGGGGCCAGAGGCGTCAGAGACCCCAGTGGAAAGAAAAGCAGGGAAGAAAGGAAAGAAGGAGGTGAAAGATGAAAGTGTGGAGAATTGCACCCACCCCAAGGCCAAGAAGAAGGGAGACCAAGTTGAGTGGCAGCTGGGAGACCCCCGTGGGGACGAGAATCCTGGTGCTGCTTCTGAGGGTGGAGAGGGTTGCGTGGCCCCACTCGATGACCAGGACTCTCCCTCGAAGCCCAGAAACAGGAAAGAAAAGAAAGGGGGACAGAAGCAAGCTGAGACAGCAGAGGATGGTACGCTAGACGAAACACCAGTGAAAAAGAAGAGGAGAAAGAAGAAAGGTTCCAAATAAATTCTCTGGAGCCAGGGTCTCCCGGCTTCTCAGCTGTCGGGGCGCTGCTGGGGCAAACTCCCCTGGCCCGACAGCAGAGCCGGTTCACTCCGGGAGCCGTGCACAGCCTCTGACACGCCCGGCCCTGCTGCATCTTGCCCTCACGCTTTCCCAAATCGGATTCCCAGAACTTCTTAGTGTCCCAAATCATGGCTCTCAGAAACAAATACATTTCTTTCTTAGACTCTGAGTCCACCGTATTTATTCCCCTTCGTGTGAGTACATCATTATGTGCACGTGCTTGTGTGTGTAGGTCTCTCACAGTCTGTATTTGCTCTTGATTTCTTTCAGTAACAGTGAACTGTGCTTCCTTCTGAAGGACTCGGTCTAATTAAAGGATTAAGAGGCAATAGCTGGCATTCAGATAGCTCTTTTTGTTCTATAGCCAACCATGTGTTTCTGCCAAGTTGGTTTTATATCATTACATTCCCAAATCAGAGAGTTGTTTTGGTCTGGTTTGGTTTGGTTTTGATGGGGAATTTGTTTTAATGCAGTCTCTTCCACTAAGCAGTGGCAGCCGTGTATTTTGAGGAGTTTAAGAGGTGAGCTGATGGTGGGGGCAGTTTAACTTCCCAGCTCCCTCACAGGAGCCCTCTTGCGGTTCCTCGGCGAGAGTCGGTGGTCGGATACATTTCCATTAGGTGTCCTCAAGGACAGGTGCCCTAGAGTGGACTCCTCCTTAACGGTGACCATCAGGGGATCCTCAGGAAGTTGAAAGAAAAACGGAGACTCTAAGCTTATGAAATTACTTTCGTCTAGACTGGGACTGCCTTGTGAAAGCTCCTAAAAGTATAAATATCACATAAAGAGTAAAAGACACCTTCAGTCCTGCTCACACCAGATGGTGTCACCTCCTGGGTTTATACTGCCTCTGCCATACCCTGGCGTGTCTCCTTGTGTGCAGCTTAAACTCTCCCCATGCGGGTTTCCCCGGAAAACTGCAGACACCTTCACACCCTCTTTGGGACACAGAATGCAAAAGAAAGCGCGTGTTTAAGATTTAGAGGTCCAGCACTGTGGTTTCCTCTCTTCCGCTGTCTTTGTTCTCTTGACTTCTCCCTCCTTTTCTTTTTCATCCTTTCCCCCTTTTACTCCGTCTTCCTTGCTCCCCGAACAAATTTTCAGTTCCCAGTTTTCTCTTACCCCTTGCTGGCTGCCTGCTCCGGTCCTGCAGACCTTTCGGGAACTCTGAGGATGTGGTACAAGGGCGGGTCGTGTGCTGCCTTCCACCTGATTTATAGATGCTCCTGGATAACAGTAACGAAAACTCATACAACCTGATGAGCTTTTGCCCTGTATTTTAACCCTCGGGGTCACACATTAGATATGAAGCACGGCCCCAGGTTTCTTAAAACTGAGAAAATATATGAAGAATGTTTGATTTTAGTCTCCTAAGAATTCTGAATGGTGCTAGTTGTTTAAAAGGATACACACGCACACACCCCACAGAGAAAATTCTTCTGAATTCAGAGCCTGAGTTGTAGTGTTTGAGTTTATTGTGGCCCTCAGAGTTTAGAATCCCAGGCAACATCCAGTCTAATAAAGCACCAAAGATTTTTAAAGTCACTTTTCTTCACAGAGGGCGCATGCCCAAGTTATCTGTGCTTGTCCTATCTTGTATATGAAACTAGAGTTCCAAAAGAAACTAGAGTTCCAGAAGGGAGTGGGTATGTATGAAACCTAAAGAGAATTATCTTTATTTATAGATATAGATATAGATATGGATATATATTAGACTGGGGTAGGGTTTTTTGCCTTTTCATTTACTTTTAACTTCATTTGCCAATAAAAATGAGAGCCAGGAGGATACGCTGAATTGTATGCAGGGGGAGGAAACAAATGGGCATTTAGGGAGCAGGGAGCTGCATCTCGGCCAGGTGGGGTGAAGTGGGCAGTGGGAAGACCAGAGGAGGGAGCTGCTCAGGGGAGCTCTCAGAGTTGGGAACCCAAGGCGGTCGCATCTCATGGAGAGCACCTGTAGACTGTGGCAATTATTATTTTAAAGCGCCGCAGAAAGAACTGAATGATTTTAATAATCGAGTGGGTAGCCTGAGAAAAAGGTACACGCTCAGCAAAGAGCAGACATCGTGACCATTTGCTTTGAATAACACAGAATATTTTCTCTAGAAATGCTCAGCTTTCATTTTTCCCAAGTGTCTCCTTTTCAGGCCACTTAGTTTTCTGAATCAAAGTGGAATTTAGAACGATGAAATGTATGCTCTCTGGACACTTGCATTTCATAGGCATGATATTTTAAAAATTGTTAACATATGAGCCCTATTTTTTGCCTTAATTTATATCACTCGGTGAAAATGTATTAATTCTGTAGTCATCAGTGCTTTTCTCGGCATCCTTCAGTTTTAAGAGGGAAAATAGTTTCCCAGGAAAAGATTTGTCCCATGAAGAGGTTCTTAAATGTTGTCTTGTAGTGCCCTTCTTTTGTTTTCTGTTAATTGTAATAGAAAATAATTATCACTATATGCTGTTTTATGTGCCCGGCCCTGTTCTAAGCACTTTAAATAATAATCAACTCGTTTAGTCTTCAGACAACCCAGTAAGATAACCATTATTGTTTATCCCCTTTTACAGATAAACTCTGCTTTATAAAAGGACCTCTTCCTGGCCACACGCCCAGACTGCTTTATTTAGTCCTCACCCTTGTGACATCACCTGTCTTTAGCAAGATTTTCTGTGGCTGATGCTCTTCACATGCCATTGTTACATTTAAATGAGAATATATTTGAAAGCAGCTGGCAAATTGTGAAGAGTTTTGCAGTTAACTTGAGTTAGTATTGTTGATACGAACTGTCAAAAATGCTTTCTAACACCGCATGTTAGAAAGTCTTGATGAGTTTTCCTTTCCAATGTGGTCAAGAGGTTGGTGGGAAATTGTTTAAGTAACTCAGCTTCATAAAGCCTGTTTGCCAGTCTACGAAACAAAGACAGAATTTCTTCCAATTTTTAGAAAATACTGATCCTTCTGAAAGATGAAAGCAAAACGAGCATTTGTTCTATACCACAGTGCCTATTCCTGCTTCTCTCCTCACCTGCTGGCTGACCCTGGCAGGAGCAAGCCAGGACCTGTTTTTTTTGTTTTGTTTTTTTTTTTTTTTAGGAACAGCATCAAAGAAATGTTTTAGCACCGTCTCCCCTAGCGACTCAGCCTCTGGACCAGCAAGCAGCGCCGTACTTAGATTTGAGTAAGAACTTCCCCACTGTCACCCTGTTTGTCTTTCGGGTTCTGCAGCCACTGCAGTTCAGAGCCTGTTGCGCTGGCTTGTGAGGCTGGGGAGGTCAGATCGCTGCTCTGATATCCGATTTTATAGTGCTCAGTTATTAGTGAGCAAATTAGTATGTCCTAATAAAGAGGATGACTAGACTCCTTGCATGAAAGTATGCTCTCCAGTTAGGAGACACTGAATACACTCAAATGACATGCACAAAGCCCATGGGGACAGGGCAGGAGATGCCGAGAGAGGCGCATGCAGGGAAGGGTAGCTGGGACAGGGGCGCGTTCCAGTTGCTGGAGCCCTGAGGCTGCCTGCAGGGCGTGGGCTAAAGCACGCATGCCCACCGCAGTGCTTTCCTCCCACCTGTGCTGAGCTTATTTCTATAAGCATTAGCAGTCAACTTTTAAGGAAAACTGCAGTGAATTATTTGACCAAAGGAAGAATTTTGTAATTAGTTACATCTCACATTTTCTGTTGGTATTTCCTATATTGCGTTTCCTTAGAGCAAAGTACATGGTTGCTGAAAGACATTTATTTGTTCTAAAAACATTTACTGAGCTGCAACTTCAGGCTGAGCCCAGGCCAGTTCGGGATATGGGGAAACAAATCCACTACAGGGTCTGCCCACCCTCAAGACCTACCAACTTGTGCCATTGAGAATGGGCCGCTGTGCCCTGGGACGCTCTCTGTGGGACATACCTGGGACCTGGCTGCGTCTACAAGGGCTAGATGGTGTTGCATCTCCTTCAGCTCTTGTGCGGGTGTTAATCAAGTTGGGTGGTAAGCTGTGGGACATTCTGTGCTCACTCATTTGACTTGAACCTGAGGAATGACTTTCTACTAAAATCTCCCTTATTAACAGGATTTCTAAGTCTGTGATACATAAGCAGAGTTATGTGCACATTCCTCCATACAGAGTAAACTAAAAATGTGTTTTGCGTAAGTGGGGAGTGTGAGAAAGATAGACCCCAGCTTCTCTCTCTCATCCTCCCCTCCCCCCTCCCCCCTCCCGCTACCAGCACATCGGCTGAGGGAACCAGGTGTGGAAGTTCTAGGAGGGGTGGCCTTCAGGTAGCCTCACATCACCTAGCAACCAGGACACCCTTTGAACATAGATGGAACAAACAACTATTGACAGACATTTGTTAAGGAAATGGAAAACGGCCGAAGGCAAACCCCAACTCCAGCCTTCAGAACTTGGGGAAATGAGGGTGTGAGAACTCCAGGGGTGATGTCCAGCACCTTAGCTGGTGGAAGCATCCCCTTCTCCCTCGTCCTCGTGGCTTCCCCCCGCGAGGGGCTTCATTCCAGGCTGTCTCCGTCTTCCGCCTTCTCCTAGACTCCCTAGAACTCCCTTCCTGAGTGTCCTTTTGTGAATACCCCTCGGCCCTTCCTCCTACTACTGTCAACTAAGCATGAGAAGGAGGCAGGAGGTCTTTGAAGGTTTCGGCCTCACTCCGTTCTCTCTCTCCGTTCCCTGTACATATGTATTCATGGCTGACATTTCTGCTCATTTCTGGATGAGTCTTAGCGCTGTGTCTCTGTCCCTCACCAGTCAGTCTCAAGCCAGCTGATGTTTTCATCCGGCATCTCCAGCCAGCCATCCCAAGGGCCCCTCAAATTCAGTGGTTCTGGAAGGAATTCTGGTTCACCCTTCCCAGGCCACCTTCCGTACCCTGTTACTGCTGCGTGTACCCCATGCTCTCAACCCTCTGGCTTTAGCGTCTGTGG